TAGTGAAACATAGGTGTATAGAGCTTTCTGTCTGTTTCTTATGTTATGATTTACGTTTTCTTATATGCAAACATTGCAGCCAATGAATGAATCAACCTCAATTAATTTTCCTTTCTGATCTAAGCTCGTATTTTCTCTTTGTACTGTGCATGCGTGCATTTCAGTCAATAGTTGTCTTCAATCTGCGAAGCATGCTGGGAATCGCCTCTTTTAGCAAACAATTTGTTTTTTCCGGCAAGTTATTTCATTTACTATAGGGCAAATGATTTGTTCATCTCAAAGGTTTAAGTAAAATCGAATTTTAGTCTGAATTCTTAAAGCCTTTACATCATAGTGCCTGGACTTCCATGTTATGGTAAATCTTTAGCCCCGCCATAGGTATTCTATCTTTTGAATTAAAACTATGTTCCACGCTACAGGCCTAGCGCTATAGATTTTAGAAACTCGAAAACTAAAGGCTATTTAAATTACAAGCTCAGGAACATGAAAACAACCTGCCCTTCACTTTTCTGTGTTGAATGATCCCCCACAAGTTAAATGGCTCGATGTATAATCTTGCTCTGAAGTGGATCAACAATATGGGCCGCCATTTCTTCCGAGAACTGATAGCCTCATAGGAGGAGCACCTTGGTTTCTTCGACATGTCGGGCGTGTAAAAGGAGCACCTTATGGCGACTCTTTTCTACCTGTTCATCATTACTACTATGGAATCAGATCCAAACCAGGCAAGAACTTGACCAAGCTAACATGATCATCATTACAGGTGTGTTATACGGATTGACAAGAGCCCATATTAAAATGAAGTGCTAGCTGTTTTCTTTTTCTTCCTACTCCCTCCCTCCCTTCAATCAAATCATTCCATTTTAATTAAATTTATTTCAGAATACTGTGCTGTGATACATGTTATAGTTGTCTAGTAGCCATTATGTGATTTGCAGCGGGTTATGTTGTTTTTTTAATATATATATATATATATATATATATATATATAAAAGGTATACAAGTTGTTTTTTAATGTATTTTTTAACATAAATAAATTTTAAATATAAATTGAATTCTAAATTGAAAATTTTGATATAAGTATCTAGATAAATAAATTAATAGCCTTTTATATAAACAAATGAAAAAATAATTAAAAATAACTACAAATTTAAAAAAATTAAGAAATGAATGCAAATTAAGATATTCAATCATATAAAATAAGACATTCACTTGATTGTATTCACTAAATTTATTTATTTAAATTAATAAAATATATATCTACATCATAAAAAACTCATGACCTAAAAGATAAAAACTAATGAAATTAACTGAATAAACTTACGCTTTAAAAAAATTAAAAAATACCAAATACATCAAAAATATTATTTAAAAATAAATATTTTTTATTTTTAAAAATAAATTTTATTTCTATAAAACCAAAAAAATTAAATAAATTAGAATAATATCTTAAAAAATCAAACACGAACATAACAATTCTAACTCAATTCATATTAAAAAAAAAAAAGGCATGCTAAACTCGTGACTTGGAATTATAAGATCAGGATAACTCCATGAAAAAAATTAAAAATAATCACAAAACTAATATTAAAAAAAAAATTGAATCCCCAGTAAATCAAATATCAAAAGATAAAATCATAAAAATATCAATTATAGAAAAGCATTCAAAAAAATAAGGGTGAAAATACAATTCATTACAAGAGAAATAAAAATTTGATTTGACATGAGCTCTACAGTGAATCGTAATTTTTTTAAAAGAAAAGGCATGGTACAAAGACAACTTGTAAATTAAAAAAATTTATCTAAACATCTAATAATCATTTATGTAAATTAATAATAACTAAAAAAAATGAAAAAAATTAAGAGATAAACGTGGATCAATATATTTGATCTCGCAAAATGAGACATGTACCCATGTGTTAACTGAACTTTTTTTATTAAAATCAATAAAAGATAATAGAAATAAAAACACATAAATAAAATTAAAAAAATAATGCAAAAAAATAGTAATTAAACTAACTAGGATTAAGTTCGACATAAAAATTAACTGAAATTAAATGTTTAAGGAAAGATAAAATGAAAATAAATGTTTAGGGATGGAATTGAAAAAAAAAATTAATCAAGAAAATAACTAAAAAAAAATAGTAATTAAAAGAATATGACTAAATTTGATAAAAAAAAATTAAAGAAATTAAATGACCAAGGATGAAATCAAAAATAAAATCCAATTAAAAATAATCAATATAATTAAAACAATTGCAATTAAGAGAAGAGGGACTGAATCTTAAGCAAAAGGAAATTGAAGGGATGGTTTAATTTTTGTATGGCTAGCATGCAACAAGGAAAAAAGAAAAGCAAATTGATGTTAAATCCAACTGAACGACGATGCACACTTTATCTAAAAAGAAAAAAATATCAAAACAAATCAAATGATATAATGAAAGTATAATTAATAGCACCGAAGCCAGCCGCACGTGTCACTTGAAGTTGGCGGAGCTACTTATGTGTTGACACGTGTGGCAATAACTTTCTTTTTTTTTGCACAAAATAAAAAATGACCTTAGGACTAAAGAATAATAACAGAAAAAAATCATCATGAAATTACAATCAAACCTCTAAAATCAAAGTTAAAAAAATTAGATATTAATGGTAAAGAAGTAGTTATCTTGTCCAATGAGAAACATAATTATTATAACGTCCTTAAACCAAAGGTTTTGACCATTTACTTTTTAAAGTCAACATTGTAATTTAAATGCCAACCAAAGTATTTAAACCTAGCCCGGTTCAAGGCCGGGTTCTAGATTTTGACCGAGTCATTGGGTTTTGGTCGAGTCGGCCGGGTCAATTTCTATTTTAAAAAAAATTCAAAATGGTGTCATTTTAGTAAAAAAAATAAAAATCAACGGGTTGCAACCGGATTTTACCGGGTCGTCCGGGTTTCCGGGTCAACTCGCCGGGTCGGCCAGGTCATGGCTTATCCTATTTTTTCATCAACCCGACCCGATTTCAGCCTCGGGTCGGCCGGGTTCAGGGTCGACCCACCGGGTCAGGCCGAGTTTTAAAACACTGATGCCAACATTAATATAAAATTTTTGAAACAACTGCTATTATCCCTGAGAATGACAAATAAACCTATGGAAAAAAATAACAATATCCCCATACCAGGTCTTCAAGGCTATGAAATTTTATTGTGCAAATTCTACAGTAGAATATATCTTAGTCTATAGTACATATATATTAGAAATCTCACATGGTTTAGAGTTTCACTTAATGACTATTGTTGTGCCTATTTGTTTTTGTATTTTTGAAATATTTTTTAAAAAATAATTTTTTTATTTGTTTTGTTTTAAATTATTTTTTTATATTTTCAGATCATTTTGAAGAAAAAAAATTATTTATATATATTTTTAAATAAAAAATACTTTTATAAAAAACTGCTGCTATAATGACAAATCTGTTTAGAGAGATGAGTTCAATTGACATTATTTGATTGCAACTGTGTAATATAGAATCCAATTGACTCAATTAAAAACACAGATGCTAAATAGATGATTTGGGAATAATATAAGGACTAAATTATGGGTCTAATTTAACCTTAAAATATTCGAAGCCACTTCTGTTTTTACAGAAAAAATATCAACTGCACGTTCTATAAGATATTCCTTTTCGTCATTGACAAAATAATAAAAATAAATAAACCTTTCACTAGTTTTAGAGGTCTTTTCACAAATGAACAAGAGAAAACAAAATGATGATTTTTTGTCACTGTACTATTGATAAAGGATAACTCATCTTTTTTGTAATTTTAAAATATAATAAAATAAACAAACTATTTTTAAAAACAAAAAAAAAATCTAAACTAGTGTTGAAGTTTTTTTTTATATTTTTAATATGATTTTTTAGTTACATTTAAATTTAAAATAGTTAATTTAATATTTTAATAAATAAAAAATATAATCAAGAAAAAAAATATAATAACATGAGCAACAAGTAGGAGACAGAGACGCTCATAATCTTTTGGCAACATGTGAAGTGTTTCTAATAGTTAAATATTTTTTTTCATGTCATTAAAATTATTACAACGTTTTTTGTTCTATTGAGGTGGCGCGTGATATTAATGATGGAATGATAACAATATATTTTTTTTTTTACTCTTGAAATCCTTGTGGGAAATTTAAAATTTCAAAATTTTCCTTTTATTTATTAAAATTTCAACTTTATTTTTTATTTTTTTTATTTTTTTAAGTCATTTTGTAAAATTTCAATTTTATTTTTCAATCTCAATTTGTAATATATTATTTTATTCAATTTGATCCTCGTTATTTTGATTATTTTTAGGGTTCTTTTATTAAACTGTTATTTATTTTCAATCTTACCATTCAATTAAAATTTTTTAATTATTCTCTAATTTATTTTTTATTTCAATTTTATTTTTTATTTTTTAATTTTTGTTTTAGATCCTTTTGTATAATTGATTTTTTTCAATTTTAGTTTACAATATTAAGTTGATTTAAAATTAAACTTTGGAGCTTTTTCAGAAAGGATGCTTCTAATTTAATGATCCAAATCACATATTGATATCATTTTTCTTTTTAAATAGGCTTTATAATTTTTTTTGTTTTTCTATTAAATTATCTTAATTTCATGACTTAAATCTCGAGTTTGACGTATTAATAAGAGTTGGCTCAGTTCTTTTTACAAGGTCATTTTTTTTTATCATTATCTTCTAAATTTGGTTCTTTTAAAATTAATTTTTTTTTATTTTGAATTTTATTGCGTTATCCTATTAACATGATTTGAGTTGCAAGTTACGATTATCTTACCTGATATTTATTTTTTATTGAGTGGTGTTTATTAGTTAATTTTATCTTTCTACAATTAATTTATTCAAATTCAAATTTTATAATTGTTTTTACTATTTAATGAATTACCTCACTCGTATTATTTCTGAACATCATTTCTTCGGAGAGAAATCCGGCCCCGCAGCGTAGCAATGGATGGTCCACCAATCTAGAAATAACTCTAAGCCGGCTTTTTCTAGGTTGTGATGGAAACGTATCACCAGCTACGTGCTATCCAATGTGGTCAAGCTGCATTTCTATTGGCTGGTTAACGATGTTTATACCAGCCCTAGTTGGCAACTTGCTTCAATTATGAAGACGCAACTGTGGAGAAAGAATTCAAAACAGTGTAGTTGAAGTTTCCATCCATTTCGAAATTAAACTCTTTTCTACCTGCGGAATCAGATCCAAAACAGGCAAGAACTTTGTCCAATCTAACATGATCATCATCACAGGTGTGCTGTTTCATGGATTGATTGACATTAGCCAATATTAAAATGAAGTGCTAGCCGTTCTCCCTTCCTCCCTCCCTTCAATCAAATCATTCGATTTTGGTTGGATTTAGTTCAGGATTCTGTGCTGCAGTGCCTGTTATGGCCGAGTGATGACTACTGCTAATTAAATCGACAGAATTATAATGGGTTTAGTTTAACCTTAAAATTAATATTCGAAGCTTCTTCTGTTCTTGGAGGACTTTCACGCCAGAGAGAGAATATCAACTGCATATTCGATAAGATATTCCTTTTCTTCATTGCCACAAGAAAAGACCTTTCACTGGTGGGTGCGTGGGCGATCCTAGATCACCATGTCCATGTTTTGTAGCTGGCTGGGCGAAGGACATGCTTATCCCCTAACTATTATCTTAATCCAAACGATGATATATCTCGATGAACGACTATATCTTAGTTTTTTTATCATCATCAACAACTCTTTATATTCTTTATTTACACATATAATTATTGATTTATTCTATCATTAACAACTCTTTGTGATGTTTTCATTCCGCAAATGAAATATTTTCTTACGCTAAAAAACACCAGAAGGGACTGCAGATTTTATTGTTTTTTGCCTTAAAACGCGTAGCAAGAGCAACCGGACTAGTCATACAAGTAAACTCCATTGGAGTTCTTTTGGATTCGAGAAGAAAGCAAGAAGAAGTTAATCATAGATGCTGCTAAATACACACCCACACCCACACCCACACCCACACCCACGTGTGTGTGGATAGAATCATGGGAGCTCCAGTAGAAAAAGGAAACAGTGGAAAAAGGTGCATGGATGCGTAGATGTTCAGCAGCACAGTGAGTAGTTGGTGAAGAAAAGCTGAACTGCATTCATGATTCTCGGGGCCCTACCACTTCCATTACCGCTCCATTCTGCCTCTTGTTTTTCAGAGAAAATATTCATTTATATATATATATATATATATATTATAATGGAGAAACAAATATTGGTGCCCTCCCAATCTACTACCGAGAAGAATAACACTATAATTTATCCGTCAAGTTGGTATTAATTTTATTTAAAGAACAAATGCTTTTAGTCAAGATTAATGCAAGTTATTCTTCAGTAAACATGGACGTGATCGAGAATTCGCAGATTTCTTATTTCATTATTCGATTCTACTTTTATAAGTTTTTTTTAGATTAACATGGGTATCCGGGTCAGCTTGCGCGCATCACGACTAATCCTACGAATTCTGAAATTAACGATTATGTAAGTCTTCAATGATCATCATATGAACAATTAAGGATTCAAATCCCTTTTATAAGTTGTTTTAATCAAGGATCTGCTTGTTGGAAATTGACAGTAAAGCCATTTTCTTTTATTTTCTGCATGGAAGAGTGACTTATGATCAAGCCATGGATGATAGATTATTGTATAAAGAAAACCATGCTCTTTGTAATTCTTTGATTAGCTTCCTCGTACATGAAATTCACAATGCACTTTTCTCTTAGGTCTTTGCTTCGTGATTATTTTATTTCAAGGTCCAAGTTTACTTTCCTCTCAAGTCTATGCTTCGTGATTACTTTTCTCTGAGGTCCCAGTTTTATCTCTCTACTTCACACTTTCTATATCAAAGTTATTTACAGCCTCTCTTATTGGTTTCTTTACTGCTTTTCTTTAGTGCCTTTGATGGAAAGTAATTTTTTTAAAAAAATTTATGTTTATTTATTATTACAAGAGTTGGTAAACATAAAATATTTTCAGCTAAAAAAAATTAGTTTGATTTTTTAAAAAATATTTATTTTTTTATTTTGGATAGAAAATATTTTTTTAAAATTATAAAAAATTTAGTAATATTATGTTATTTGTTAATTATATCAAATTTGATTCTAAAATTTTTAATTTATATATATATATATATATATATTTTATTTTGAATATTTTTTTAATTTTATCTTTTAAAATTTAATTTTTATATTAACTCTAGTTTTTATTTTTATAATTATTATTTACCTTTTCCTTATATTTTTTAATTGAAAATTTTTATCTATCAAGTTTAGTCTTTATTCTTGTGATTGTTACTTATCTTATTTAAAATAATTTATGAAATGATTATTATTATTATTATTTTATCTTTTAATTTTTTAATTTATTAAATTTGATTTCTATTATTTTACTTATTATTTATTTTATTTAGTATAATTTATAAAATTATATTTTTTTAATTTCAATTTCATTTTATTTTTTAATTGTTTCTTATTATTTTAATAAACTTGAAAAAATAAAATATTAATAAATTATTTTTTTAATTTATTTTCTGTAAAATAATTGAAAAGTATTTTTTAATTTATTTTTTATTATATTATTAAATACTAAAAAATAATTTATTTTTGTATAATTTATTTTCTAACAAACGGCCTTATTGTTCGTTCTTGATTTTTATCAACTCCTGCTCGTCGTGAACACTCTTAATCTTTGCTCCTCGTTTGAACTCCTCAGATTCCAATTATTACGAGAACCATGCGATGATTAATAACAGTGAAATAATTATCAGCCTTTTACAATTCAAATCCTAAATCTCAATTTCAGCAGCTGATTGGGGAATAAATAATAATTAATTGACAATAATAATATATCATCAAAACCCATTTAGCTATACAAAGCTAGCCGGTAAGGTTTGTGTAGCTAATTTTATATTTTTGAACAATTAAGGGGAGGTTTAAGGGTGAAAATTGATTCATTAAGATTTTCAGAGTGTTTATTTGATGTTCTCAGTGAAAATAAATACAAGAAAAGGGTTTTGAATTCAAAAGTATTTGGAACCTGAATTTTCAACCACATCTCCAGTAGCTAAAACTTGAGCCTGGAAATATGACGTCATTTATTTTATTTATTTATAACAAAAAGATAGATAATGTATCGTTGGACCTTATTTAAAGAAAAAAAAAAGGAGAAAAAAGGCTATGTATGTAGGCTCAATCTTCGAGGCCTAGGTGCCCCCGCCTCTATGTGTAGTCTTTATTTTTTGATATAATTTTTCCTTTTAGCTTTTCATTGAAATTCATTATAAAAAAAAATATTTAACATAATATTCACATGAGTTGTTGGAAAAGCCACAGCATTCTTTTTCTTTTTTCAAGGCAGTATGCGTGGTTGATAATGGCTAGTTTGTCGCCTTTAATGGTTTTTTTCCCATTTATTTTTCTCTTTCATTTCCTTAATTTTCATATTAGCTCTCTTGATCTTTAAAATTGTTTTCTTAGTTTATAAAAAAATTGTGATGATATTTTTTTAATTTTTAATTTTTTTTCTTGAGGTTTTTGCATAATTTAATTTGTTTTTAATTTTATCATTGAGTTTTAATTTATAATATATTGTTTTCAATTTCATCTTCATTTTTTTAATTATTATTTTTTGTTGGGTTCTTTTGTTAAATTTATTTATTTTTATTTTCACTTTTCAATATATTTTTTTTTTACTTTTTATATCAATTCTAACTCTTATTTTTTTAGGTGTTTTTACTAAATCAACTTTTCTTTTTAACTTTACTATTCAATTAAAAATAAATTTATTTTATATTTGAATTTTAATCCTTATTCTTTTTAATGATATATATATATAGGTTTCGAATTTTTTTATATAGTTAATTTTTTTTTAATTTTATGCTTTGATATTTAATTGAATGAGAATTAAACTTAATATTTTTTTTATATAGAGTACTTCAAGTCTAATAACTCGGATTATATGTTGAAAATTTAATGTAAATTGATATTATTTGTTTTTTAAATGATTTTTTTAATTTTTTTATAAGGTTATCTTGATTTCATGATTTAAACTGTAAATTAATAAAATAATCTAAGTTGACTTGACTCGAATTACTAAAATTACAAGTTTATCATACTAATTTTAATTGGCTATATCTAATTTTTTCAGTTTTTTTAATTTCTTATCATTCTTTTTTATCTAATAGGTTAAATATTAAACTACATGATTTGTTTTTTAATTTTTTTTCCAAGTTATAGTGATTATTTTCTTAATTTTTCTTTGTCAATTTATTGTTATTTTTTCAATTATGTGATTTAAATAAAAATCAATTTATTCAATTTATTCAAGTTTATAATTTAAATCATTTTTTTTCTCAAAACATCTTTACTATACTTGAATATATATATTTCTTTTAAATAATTTGGACCCATAAGGTATTGGGAGTATAAACCTAATATAATATTAAATAATATTTAAGAATATAGTAATAATTATTTTTTAAAATGATTTTTACTTGAAAAATATTAAAGTGATATTTTTTATATTTTAAAATTAATTTGTGATATTATTATGTTAAAATAATTTAAAAATATAAAAAATATTTTAATTTGTTTTTTTTTTTTAAAAAACATGTTGAAAGTTCTCCTAGATGCATTCTAAATCAGCTCGTAACTTCTAGAAGATACAAATGCAAAGGATTGCCATATATATATATATACTTTCCCAATTTTATAGCCGCTTCTTTGACTTTTTGGAGAGAAGCGGGCACATTCATGTCGACATGAATGAATGTAGAAGATGCAGATAATATGCACACTTGGCAGCCACATGAGTCATCGTATAATGTAAACTAAAATATTAAAACCAAAGGAACAGTTGACTGTTCATGACGTAATCAATTACATACCAGGGAAGGATGGCTTGGAAGAAAAGCCAGATTTTAATTGTTGTGGCGGTTGCGTTTTTTTATTTACAATTAAATTAAAATAATACTTTTAATATTGACATATAAATAACAAAAAAAATTAAAACAAAAATATAAAAAGATTTAAAAACAATTTTAAAAAACAAGAGTAATCGTACCTCATTAACAGGGAACAAAAGGGCCCAGCCACAGACAGTAATAAATTGTGGTGTCATTTCCCAGGAAAACCTGTCTGTACATGTGAATGTGACTCAACCACGTCATCACTAACGTCACAACTTCTGTCCTATCCTGTGGTGACTGACTGACTTGTCAAACCAGTTTCGTAGACGAATTTAAATCCTCCATTACTATAGGAATAAAATAATTAAACATTATCCACAATTTCACTCCTAATTATACTCTTAAACTAATCATGTACGCATTGATGTTTCAGCATGAACGGATCTCATAGAAGACATTTTTGTGCTCTTTCACTTTATTTGGATGTATAATTATGGTTATTTTTTAAAAATTATTTTTAAAATTAATATATTAAAATAATTTAAAAATATCAAAGATATGTTAATTTAAAATAAAAAAATTAATTTTAAAAAAATTAATTTTAAAATATAATAACAAATAAACATGATAACATGAGAAAAAAATTATTTGATATATAATCTAATTGGTTAAAATCAAACCACATCAATAAATATACAAAAACACAAATATAATTTCAGGTATTTTCCCATTAAATATGTCAATAAATCAAATAAATATGTAAATAAATCAATAAATATGTCAATTCCCACATATGTTCTTATATCACATGGAGAGCTCTTAAATGAAAACTCTTATTCACGGGGCATGTTGGAACTTTAAAAACTATAAGAATAATATTGGAAAATTTTAAACTATAAGGATAGAAATGAGATTATATAGAGACAAAAGCGAAGTTTATCCTTCTTTTTTTAATCCACAAATCAAAAATAGAGAAATCATCATAAATACAAAACAAAAAGAAAATTATGGTAAATCAATATATATTTTTTTATCTTAATCTTAATATCAAAAAAATTACTAGATCTTGATTAATTTAACTTAGCTGAATTAACCTACTAAAAAATAAAGTTCTCCTAGCAAAAACATACTCTATATATCATACTTAAATTCAAGATTTTATTTAAAAAAAAAACAAATACCTAACGACTACATTTGATTATAAACCAAGATATCTGTAGCGTGTGACGGGCACCTTTTTCTTGTTTACTGGTATATGTGTAGGGTGATTATGGTGTGTGAGAGCCAATGGAGAACTTTCTTACCTGTAAACGAAGCCTTGAGTGGTGGACAAGGCTGCTTTAGCCTCCATTAAATGATACTCCATCTTTGTCCATCCAAAATTCCAAACGGCAAAATCCTGTATCATTTTCTTGTTCCTTTCTTTGTCCATAAAAATAAAATAAAAATAAAGCCCTTTTGTTTCCACTCCCATGAAAGTTCTGGTCATAGCTCCCCCTCCTCTCTCTATATAAGACTTTTTCCCCTCCTCTCGCTCTCCTCAAACCTCTATTATTTCAACAGCACGATCCCTCTTCTTCGATCCCTCTTTCAGTCACAAACTTCATTACCTCTACCATAATAACAGACCAATGGCCGCTTGTATTGACACCCCACGAACAGACACCTCTCAGCTTTCTCGCAATCCTAACAGGTCTCAATCAGATGATCATGCCTACAACTACTCGAAGCTTTGCAGGCCTCCTCTTGTTTCTTGCACACCCTTTTCCAGGAATCACACAAAAACCATCAACAAGTCTGCTGTCGCTGATGATTTTGATGAACAGAATAGCTTATGGCTTACAATGAAAGAAGAAGCAAGGTTAGATGTTGAACAAGAACCAATACTATCTAGCTACTACTTCTCCTCCATTTTGTGTCACAAGTCATTAGAAAGAGCGCTGGCTAATCTTCTCTCAATAAAGCTGAGTAATTCCAGTCTTCCTAGTACCACTCTTTTTGACCTCTTTGCTGGGGTCCTTGAAGAGAGCCCTGAAATCATTAGAGCTGTGGAGGAGGATTTGAAAGCTGTAAAAGAGAGAGACCCTGCATGCGTGAGCTATGTTCACTCTTTCTTGAATTTCAAAGGTTTTCTAGCATGCCAAGCACACAGAGTGGCACACAAGTTATGGTCACAACGTAGACAAATTCTAGCTCTATTGATACAAAATAGAGCATCTGAGGTTTTCGCAGTTGATATCCATCCCGGGGCAAAGATTGGTCAAGGAATATTGTTTGATCATGCCACAGGAGTGATTGTTGGAGAGACCGCTGTGATTGGAAACAATGTGTCAATTTTGCATAATGTGACCTTGGGAGGCACAGGGAAGGCATGTGGAGATAGGCATCCAAAGATTGGGAATGGGGTGTTGATTGGGGCTGGAACTTGTATTCTGGGAAATATTAAGATTGGTGATGGGGCCAAGATTGGGGCTGGCTCACTGGTGTTACATGAAGTGCCACCTAGAACTACCGCTGTTGGGAATCCAGCTAGGCTGATTGGAGGGAAGAAGAATCCAATTAAGCTCGATAAGATTCCTAGTTTCACCATGGATCATACCTCACATATTTCTGAGTGGTCTGATTATGTTATTTAGATGACTTTTCTTGTTTCCATGTTTCGAGATCTTGGAGTTTTTGTTTGTTTGTTTGTGTTGGGAGTGAGAATTGAAGTTCTCCAGCTATTAGCAAACAGAGTAGGCTCTGTCCTGATTTTATTCAGCGATATATTGTATATGTATTGCCTTGTGACGTTATTAAAGATCACATCTTCTCGAAGTATAAATCTAATCAATCTATGTTTCTGTTGCTTCTAGCTATTTCTCTTCCAATTGTATTGATTTACACACTTAAGTCTCTTTTTTTGTTCCATTTGCTTGTTCTGTTTTGTTGTCTGTTTCTGAAAACTTTCCCAGATTTGTTGACTGCAATATTAGAAGGTAGTATCAATAGACTAGTGCTCCAAAGCTTTTTATTTGGAGGAAGGTCTGGTCTAGTTACAAGCTGCAGCGTCGAAATGAAGGTGGTGGACATTGTTATAAATGCTCCGGGCTAATGATCCATTACTTGGGATGAGATTTGCTAGATCCATTATTTGATCTGTCACTAGTTTTGGGAAAGTTAATACAGAAGCTGCACCGTGTGCGTTTGGTGCTGTGTTGCAGGGTGGTTTTTGCTCACGAAATGTACTTTCAAAACACAGTTACAAACGGTGAAAACTTGTACATGATAGAGGCCATGATCATTGCTGCAGCCTCAGGTAGGGAAGGGCGTGTAAACACCAGCCTCAAGAACGAGTGCAGGTGTTGAATTTGGTGACTTCTGAGACGTTCAATGATTTTCAGGTTCTTTTTATGTGAACCAATCACTCGAACAAGTCTGGCTAACTGGGGTCAAATCTAGTCCACCTGTTGAAGGATAAAGTAGGTCAAATCTGTGATGGCAGGCCAAACCACTGATCTTCTCGTTGGCCAGCTTCCATCTTTTGTTTCCTACTCCAGTTAGTCGACAGAAACATCGATGTATCACATTTGACCATGCACATCAATTACCAAATCCATATTCCTCCTATGAGAAGATGGACTCCAACAGGCTGCACTCTGTTATACTGTGGTACTGCCTCCTCTTCTTTCTCAGGCCAGTTATTATGGCACAAAAAGCTCAAAATCAAAACTTTCCTTGCAATGCCAATGATCTATTCAGAAGCTCTGGCGGGTTAAAACTGCGGTCCTCGCCTAGACTCAGTTGTTGCTGCCATACAGCGGGCACCTCCCTTGTATTCCTAGATCAAATGGACGGAGACGAAAACAACACAAAAAAAAAAAAAAACAAGTATAAGCTTTATAGAATTTTACCGAAGAGGGTTACTTTACAAAAACTTCTATTCCGTGATATTTCTTTTCAAATATTATGTTTATAAAAAAATTTACTTAAATAAATTAAAAAAACAACTTGGAGGAAAATAAAAGACAAGCAATTATAATCCTAAATAAACAATGAAAAATAAAATTATTGAGAAAATTAAATAGGAAACAATAAAAAACAACTAAAAAAAATATTATTTTTTTTAAAACCTCTTGTTTTTCAGTTTATTTGACAATCTAGTTGTGGTTACTTTTACAAATAACTTCTCGTTTTAAAATATATATTAATAATTTTTTATTTTTTAAAATTATTTTTGATATCAGCGTATTAAAATAATTTAAAAACACGAAAAATATATTAATTTAAAATAAATAAAAAATAAAATAAAATTTAAATTTTTTTAAAAACACTTTAAAAATAAAAAGAAACATTAAAAAAACTCAATTTACATTTTTTGAATAATAAAAAGTTTGTAATAAAAAGAATTAATATAGTCTAAGTCAACAATTTTCTTTTATTTGTTGAACACCTTTTATATTATATTTGCACTAAACCTTGAATTTATATTATTAATGAAATAATTATTATCTTTACTGTAATTAAACATGTTATCATTGTTAATATATTTATTATTGTAATAAACATCATAATATAGAATAGTAATTTATATCTATTTTATTATAAAAAATAAAAAAAAACTGTATACTATAGTAACCCCGATAAAATAATTGGATTTAAAGATTTTAAAGGTGTTTAGGATTGAATTTCAATTTACTTTTATAAAAATTAATTTTTTTTTTATTTTAATTTTTTAGATCCTTTTAATATATTATTTGTATCAAAAATAAATTTTAAAATATAAAATTTTTTAATATATTTTTAAATAAAAAATATTTTAAAAAATAAATATTAAAAAATTTTTTTAATGAATTTTTTTTAGTACTATAAAGTCGTACTATCATATACTATAGCCTTTGCTTTCATGTACTACCATCGCTCCCAATCTCACGCCGCTTTGATAATTAACTAAAGCTGTGGCATGTTAGCGCGCTAATTTGATTGCAGGGCGTTTAGGCTTAGCTGCAATTAATTAATACTTGTTCACCGATATAATAATAATAATAATAATCTTGCAGCTCCAGAAAACAGAGTAAATAGTTTATTCCAGACAAACACTTCTGATCTGCCTAGGGTCATTCGGATTGAATAATTTATATCAAACTTGTTGAAATAGAACGAGGTACGATCCAACTACAGGACAAATACGATTGTCAAACACAATTACTGATATCACACATGGAGTAATAGAATCTAGACTGGTAATGAAACACAGTGCGAAAATGAAGTAGAACGAGATGCTATCCAACTACAGGACAGGTATGATTATCAAATAAAGATTCCTGTCCTGGGCGGCTAACGCTAAGGTTGGCCTCAGAACTTCAACTGAAACATCATATATAGAAGAGAAGCAAATTTACTAACCATCACTCGATAATGGAGCAGCTTCAAATTCCCTCCTCCTTGGTCCTTCTTTCATCACTTCTCTTTATCTTCATGGTATTAAGGATACTCAAAAAGTCGAAAACCAAAGACTTAACTCCAAATTTACCCCCAGGTCCACGGAAGCTTCCTGTGATAGGAAACTTGCACCAGTTATTATGTTCTCTACCCCATCACCGCCTGCGAGACTTGGCCGAGAAACATGGACCTATTATGCACCTTCAACTCGGCCAGGTTCAGACCATTGTTATTTCTTCTCCAGAAACTGCTGAACAAGTGATGAAAGTCCATGATATCAACTTTGCTCATAGGCCCCATCTCCTTGTAGGACAAATCATCTTCTATAACTGCACGGACATTGCGACTGCAGTATATGGAGACTATTGGAGGCAGTTGCGGAAAGTTTCCATCTTGGAGCTATTAAGTCCTAAACGTGTGCAATCATTTAGATCTATCAGGGAGGAAGAGGTATCCAGTCTTATTGGAAGTATTTCTTCTAGTGCAGGATCAATAGTCAACCTTAGCAGGATGCTGTTTTCTGTAACATATAGCATCACTACGAGAGCAGCCTTCAGTAAATTGCGGAAAGAGGAAGAGATATTCGTTCCGCTTGTTCAGGGAATAATACAGGTGGGAGCAGGTTTTAATATAAGTGATCTTTTCCCTTCCATCAAATTGCTTCCATGGATAACTGGGATGAGGTCCAGAATGAAAAAGTTGCATCAAGAAGCTGACAGGATACTTGAAAGCATTATCAAAGAGCATAGAGCTCGCAAAGCGGAGGGCAATTCCAGTAACGAGGGTAAAGCACATGATCTTGTAGATGTTCTTCTAGATCTCCAGGAACATGGGAACCTCGACTTCTCCCTAACTACCGATAATATTAAGGCAGTCATCCTGGTAAGTGTTTATATTGCGGTACATTTGGTTTTGCATAGGCTGTATATTTGCTTACCTCAATTTGATTATCGTGTCTCGCTCTCAGGACCTTTTCATTGCTGGGACAGAGACATCATCAACTATTCTAGAATGGGCAATGTCAGAGCTGCTAAAGCACCCAGAAGTGATGGAAAAGGCTCAAACAGAGGTACGAGAGGTGTTTGGCAAAGATGGAAGTGTCGGTGAATTAAATTATTTGAAGATGGTTGTCAAAGAAACTATGAGATTACACCCTCCTCTCCCTTTGCTGCTTCCAAGAGAATGTCGAGAGGACTGTGGAATCAACGGATACAATATTCCCATTAAATTCAGAGTCCTAGTTAATGCATGGGCAATCGGAAGGGATTCAAATTATTGGGTTGATGCTGAGAGATTCCATCCTGAGAGATTTCTTGATAGCTCGATTGATTATAAAGGGGTTAATTTTGAGTTTACCCCTTTTGGTGCTGGAAGAAGGATGTGTCCAGGCATTCTGTTCGGCATAAGTAACGTCGATCTTCTACTAGCAAATTTGCTCTACCATTTTGACTGGAAGCTCCCAGGTGACATGGAGCCAGAAAGTCTAGACATGTCTGAAGCTTTTGGTGCCACGGTTAGAAGAAAAAATGCTCTGCATTTAACTCCTATTCTGCACCATCCTCATCCTGTTAGATCTCGAAAATCACAAGGAAAATGATCTTAAATGTGCTTGTTATGTTACGTAATGCCAATGGTGTTGCCCAGTCACGATAATAATAATAACAGTAATAAAAAGCGGCTCATTTTTCAGTGTTACCTTGACAGATGAATATTTGAACAATTGTTATCTTTAACTTTACCCAGAACTTATAATAATCCTACACTTTGATCCAATTTCAGCCCAAAATAGCTACAGGATGAACTGTTAATTTAAGTTATTGATTTATAATTTCTATGTTGTTCTGATAAAGATAACAGTTGATACACACATATTTTCTTACAGGACTTGCCATTTGGCGATACCAACAAATATAATAATTAAGTTCAAGTAATTATGAAATTCCATGAAGATTTGCAGCTTCCATTCTGATCTGCCGATCTTGTTAAGGTTACCAGAAATATATTTATTCAATGTATTAGCTTTTAAAAATAAAGATTGGCTTTTATGTGAAGTGGCAGATCCATTGATTGGAATAAATATTTTGAAGGAAAAAATAAAAATAAATTTATTTATTATAATTTTTTTTTAAAATGTTGATGGCTACCACTACTACAACCATTGAAATGCTTTCTAATTAAAAGATTGTCAAATAATGATCATAACTAAAAATATACTAATAAGCATTTTTAATTAGATTCTATCTTACCAGATCCCTAAGCTGGTTGAAGGTTAAAGTTAGTAAAATAAAAATATTTTTTAAAAATTATTATAAATTCATAACATATCGCCTAGTAGAATATGTGAGGCTTGAAAATTTTAAATTATTATTTTCATTGCGTTAATCTTTTTAAATACTCAGCAGGGCAACAAAATTATAATTAAATAATTAATTTGTTGATTGATTGAATATTTTGGTTGTTATTGATATTTACTGTAAATTAAATCCATGTGCAAAACATTGATTTTCTAAAACAAAAATATGCTTTAATTTTAATTATTGGCTTTAAAAAAAAAAACTTGATAGAGACTTTTTTTTTTAAAGTGTTTTTTCTACTAGTAAGATATATATATTTTTTCATATTTTTCAATTGGTTATTAATCTATTTTAAAGCTCACTATATAAATACTAGAAAAATATTCTATTTTATCAATTTAAATTTAAAATCCTTAATTATATATACTTTAGGTTCACAAGAAAAAAATTATATTTTTTAATATGGGATAAAAATCTTTTTTAGTTTAAATATGATTAGTACTTAAAAATGCATTTTTTATCAAGGTTTTATGTCATCATTTTGCACTTCAAATATCAATAACTCTTTAACTAAAACATGTTTTATAATAATATATCTAATAATATAAGATTCCTTTAATTTATGATAAATGTTCATTTTAAATGCTGGCCTATTACATAAATGAAAGGATTGATTGATGAATTTAAGAACTGAAATTGAAAGGACAAAGAGATGGCCAAACTTAGAAAAGAGATGTTGGTGCAATCCAAACCAGAACACTGTTTAG